AATAACAATAGTCGGACGGAGAAGTAAATTCTATAAAAGTCCAGGGTCGAGCACAGTTGAAATGCCACAAATACGTGTGTATACAAGGCTTGGTCCTTGGGGATGGGCACGTGATACGAATTTGCTTAAAAGGCAATCCTTAGGGAGTCGGAAAATGGGAAAATAATATATGGAAGTACTTATTCAAGTATGAAAAGGGATATGATATACTATCAAAAGCAATTAACAGAAATTAAGGAAGAGCTAAATTGTCTTAAAAATATTTATAAATTATAATGATAAAATGTAATAATTTTGAATTGAATTATGTATTTTATATACCCAAAAATATAATTATTTAAACCCATTTCGTGTCACGTTGTCATCTCTCACCGATTTGCCCTTTCCCAATGTCCAAGTTGCGTCCAAATGCCGTCCTGAGCTCGCAGGAGCTGTCCTGGGCAAGACAACCTTTATATTTTTTTATTTTCGGGGAGGGGTCAACAATGAAACAGGACTGGCCAGGGGCGTTGGGGGGAAGACACACTCCAGAAGGGTGAAGAAGCGGGTGCCGCCTCGGAACGCGGTATTTTTCGGAGGGTCTGAAAGAAGTCGGCGGCCCATTTGAATGTTTTATAGCAATTTCTGTTGTCGGCTGCGGTTGATGTTGCTCCTGCTGTTCTTGTTGTTGTTGTTGTTGTTGTTCCTCTTAATATTGTTGTTGGTTTTGCTAGTAGCATTGTTGTTGGTGTTGCCAGTTGCTGGTTAGCCGGCAACTTGACACACCTCAATGCACGTTGCACTCAACACTTGGCGTATAATTATTTATTACATTTAAATTATTGTTGCCATTGTTGGTAGGTGAGTTGCTATTGCTATTGCTGTTGTTGTTGTGGCAAACAAAACTTTCAGCGAGTGTATGTGTGTAGATAGGTATAAAAAAAAAGAAAGAAAGGAGGGAGTAGAAGGGGACTTGGTGGGGTTGAAGCTCGCTTCATGCACTCGCACTTGGCTTTATGATTGCTACAATTATTGTTGCCGCTGCTGCTGCCGGTTGCTGTTGCCCCTGCAATTCCTTGGACAGCATTTCCACAAGTGCAATTGTTTATAGCCATTATTATTGTTGTTGTTGGTTGTTGTTGTTGCTTAGCTCTCTTGCATTTCATTATATTCCGATACAAGTATATATAGTAGTATACCCAGCACACCAAGAAGTATCTATATACAGTAGCTTTCCCTTCTGTTGGGCGCCTCAGCGAAATGTGTTTTTCACATTATTCCCATGAATAATGCATTGGGCCAATATGCATATTTTATGTGAAATTCGTGCAATAAAATACTATTAAATATTTAGTTGCCGCCGACGTCGACGTTTTTGTCTTGCGGCAAAATAAAAGAGAGACGGCAAAGGAGCCTTTTTGGGTGTCCTGCCGGTGGAGGAGGAAGGGGCGGGAGAAGGTGGGTGGAAAGGTGTCATTAGAAATTCGGGGGCCCTGGGAATGGGATTTATAAAAATGCAAATCGATTCGCGGGATCCCCCAATGAAAAGTGTCAGTTCTCTGGACTCGATAATTGTGGCCTAGCGGGGCCAGGAGACAGACATTCTTAAATGAATTATTTCTGGCGTCTTATAAAATGAATGGATGTCCCGAGCACAACTATGAAACAAAGAGGTGCGGCTACACGGAAAGAAAAGTAGGATAAATACTAAATAAAAGTGATACTGAGATCGGAAATCAATATTTCAGATAATTGTTTAATCTTAAAAAATAAGAATAAAATATTTCTTAGATTTCTTAAGATATTAAAAAGTTTCAGCTTTAATTTTTTGCAATGCAAAAATAACAGGAGCCACTTCCGAGGAAGACAACGTGGCCAAGGTTGCTGGTAACCACCCAAGTGGGTGGCATGCGTGTGACTGGCTGAGTAATACAAATAAATGAATGAACCCGAAGGCAGAGAACAGCCAAAGAGAGATAGAACGAGTGGGAGTACGGCGGAAAAGCGGAAACTTGGCCAGCCAAAAGCTAGAGAGAGAAAACTAGTTGGCAGTAGTAATAGTGAAGGCTAAAAGGGAACAGGCGCTCAGGAAAAGCAATAGCTTGCCTTCACCAAAAACGCAAAGGAAATGGCAACCTTTCGTGTAGTTGTGACGCACAAGGGGGGTAGCTTCGATGGGGCAATGGGCCATTCAGGGGTTAAGGCGGCTTTCGGCGTTCGGGGTGGGTGAAGTGTGGGGTTTTTGTGGTGAGCAAGTTGCAGACAAGAGAAATAACAAACTTGAGACGCCACCACGGTGGAACACGAATCGAAAATGAATAATAAATAAAGTGTTATATAATATAAGAAATATACACAGCAAAAACGCCAGGAAGAAAACTACAGCAAAAGTTCCAAGGAGCCAAGGAGGAAAGCGGTGTTTTAAGCTGGTACTTCGAGGGAGGGGGGTTAAGGGGGCTAAAGGATAAAGGACATGCCAGCGGGGGGAAGGTGTAGTTTTAGTGCTTTTCCTAACGCGCCAAAGAGGTTGGGTTTCGGGTAGAGTACTGCCGCCGAGTTTATGTGCGCGCTTGAAAAATAAAATTAAAATTGCATTAGAATCCAAGGGGTAATACAGCCAAGCGGGGCGGGGGTGGTGCTGGAAAAACCCCTTGCCAAGGGGGGGAAGTTAACCCGCGATGTAGTGAAAACTTGAAGGCTGTTGAAAGGCAAAGGGAGAGTGGCCGGGGGCCTGGGTCTATGCATTTGGATTGATGGCAAATGCGAGTGTGTGGAGGGTGTGTTATAAATTTATATTTTATTGCCAACAGACACACACACACTCGCACACAAAGTTATAGAAATTCCATATATAATATATATATATACCCCGATCTCTTCTGGGAGTGGAGGTGCAAATAAAAAAGTATTGAAGGCTACACGAAAAATATTTTCTTTAGCCAGGGAAAGCTCACGAAAATCAATAAATTTTTATAGAAATTTGTAGCAGCGGAAAAGTTAATTAAATAAATTATTATGTGAATGGGGCGTGCACACGATGAGTAATTGGCAAGAAGCAGAAGACGAAGAGGAAGAATCCAGAAGAAGCCGAGGAGGAGATGTAGAACCAGGAGAAGCCAAGGCAGCGACGCCAGCAGCGAAGCGCCGCAAATTAAATTAAATGAGTTGAAAGAAAGTTGAATGCGCGCACACTTCAAATTTGTTTTTGTTGAGAAGAGTGGGGATGGGAAGGAATGAGAGGGGGTGACTGCTGCCAGCTAAGGGGAATTGAAAATTTAATTAATTAAACATTTTTGAGAGAGCAGAGAGCTCGTAATATTTTATTATATGAATTGTACTATGCGAGAGTTTTATAATCGCCCCAGACTGAATGGATGGATGAATGGCTGACAGCAGGGGGGTGTTGCCGCTTGTTGATTAATATCTGAAAAGAGCTAGAGATGGGACTACTACATTTTAATATATAAGGAAAAATCTTGAAAGAAATTTTTAAGAATTTATTTCCACTTCTAAACTCTAGTTTTCTTTATTTAAAGTTAAAATTTCATCCAAGAAACCCAAACATGTTCTGAAAATATTTTTAAATAAATCTATGAAACCTCAAAAATTAAGATATAACTAACAATATTTTTTAATATCCCAATAAAGACATAAATCTTAAAAAAATAGTAACTATACAAAGCTTTCCCACATATTTAACCTGCTTTGCGGCTCTGTAACTCTGATATTTACAAGCTACAAAAGTGTTCACACTGCCCGCCATAATTCAACCCCCACGTAGCAAACAAAAAAAGTGGCATCATTAACAAAGTGTTTTACATAAAATAGCATTTTTAACGCCATTTTGTTTGCAACACGGCCGCATTTGTTACAGTTACAGCCACTAGTGCCGCCTGTAAAAATGTAAAAATGCTTCCGACTTTTCAATTTCAATTATTCATACGTTTTATGACCTTTTTCCTTGGCATGCAGGCTTCGGCTCCTCGGTATGGAGTTTTCCGGTTCTCCTGCCCTCCAGCGCCTACTCCTCAAATATTTAAGACTTGCATTATATGTTCTCTTTATGAGCTGCACTTTTTTTTTCTTTTGGTTCGTCTCCCTAGTCGGATTTCTGTTTTGTTTTATATATTTTTTTTTTGTATATTTTTTGCTTTACTTGTTTTTTTTTTTCTGCCTCTGGCTCATGCTCGTTGCACATAATTTGTATTACGCCCCTGCATATAAAATGCATGGCTACGTGCGCAGAGGGGGCGTGGCCAGCTGGCCGAAGGAAGGCTTTATGGCCAGAGCCTCTGTTTCGGCCATAGCACGAAACCTGCATCAATTTAACTTTTCCTATGTGGCATTACAAAAAAAAAAAAAAAAATGGAGATTCTCTTAGTTTCAGTCTCAGCTCCCGGTTAACCCTTAAATGGCCGGGTTTTTGTACCGGTTTCAACTGATTAATACGGCCGCCATGGGGTTAAAGGCTGGCTCAATTAAGCGGCACAGAGCTTCCCCCTGAATTCCTAATAATAGCAATAAATAAATGGCTTTTTGTATATTCCGCTAGGTGAAGCCTCAGAGCCTCAGAGCCGTAAAAAGGGGCCGCCAAGACAATGGGGTCCGGGATAGCCCCACTTTGTATACTAATTTGCTTTTGGTGGGCTCCTCCTTGGCTCTTTGCATACGAAAATGCTACGGCAACATTTATGGCATTCATAAACTTTTACGGCCAGCCACAATTCGTGTGCAAATGTCACAGGCGGCCTTAAGAAGTAAGCCAGAGGGAAAAACTATTGGTTGGGAGTTTCCCCTTTCCCCCAAAAAAACAAAAAGCAGATACCTGTTATGCAAAGTTTTCTAATTATTTTAAAGTCGTGAAGGCGGGAAAATCTTTTCCTGACAACTCCTTGAGCTGCAGGGATTTTTTTTAAGGAAGGAGAAATAAATATATTAAGTTAAGAATAGCTGTATTATCATTTTAGTTGAATTAAAAATATACAACTAACAATTTCCCTTTCCCCTTTTATCAATTCCAGGCCAAGATGATCGAAAGTGGAGGACATGGTGGCTGGATGGGTGCTGCAGCCGCTGCCACCGGCGCTGCCTCAGTGGCGGGTAAGTTCAAGCTAAAAAAGGCCTTCCATTTCAGCCTTTTCATAATGTCCGCGTGACGTGTTCCTTTCAGCAGACAGCTACCAGTACCAGTTGCAGTCCATGTGGCAAAAGTGCTGGAACACCAATCAACAGAACCTGGTGCAGCAGCTGAGATTCCGGGAGCGAGGACCCTTAAAGTCCTGGCGACCAGAGGCCATGGCCGAAGCCATCTTCAGTGTGCTGAAGGAGGGCCTATCCCTGTCGCAGGCTGCCCGCAAGTTCGACATCCCGTATCCCACTTTCGTTCTTTACGCCAATCGAGTTCATAATATGCTGGGACCCTCGCTGGATGGCGGTGCCGATCCTAGGCCCAAGGCCAGGGGTCGTCCGCAGAGAATCCTGTTGGGCATGTGGCCGGAGGAGCTCATCCGCAGCGTCATCAAGGCGGTGGTGTTTAGGGACTATCGTGAAATCAAGGAGGATATGAGTGCCCACCAGTATGCCAATGGACAGGCCCATGGTGTAAGTACTTTTTGGATATTTATGTTTATATTACATTTTAATTGGAAAAGAAATTGAAAAAGAAAAAAATAGTTTTTAAAATTATAAGCTTATTTTCTTAATCAGTAAAGGTATAAATGTTCTTAGAGCTTGTTTTTTTTTAGCGAAATTTAATGTTATTTGAAAAAGAAAGACATAAAAATAAACATTTATCGCTTGTCAGAATGAATTTCAATACTAATTATATTTCAGTTAGGTGGAATTTGTTTTGTGTAAACAAAAAGTGTAATTATATTATTTTTGAAACGCCAAGGTCTTTTTTTGTAGTATTTCTATGTATACATTTTGGCTATGTTTGGAACATGATTTTTACCTGAGAAAATTTCTATTAAATTTCTTTAATATTATACCAATTTCCTTATATTTTCATTTATTATATTTATTGATTTTAATTACAAAATAATAGTTATCTCTTTTAAACATTTTGGGGACTCCTAAGTATTTCCCACTTGATAACCTTTTAGCCCACTTTAACCCCCTTTCTTCCCATATTTTTTCTTCTACTCCCCAATAGTCCCACTTTGGCGCTGGTTCCGCTTCTAATGGCTATCACAGTGCCGCTGCCGCTGCCAAGATGGCCGCCCAGAATGCAGCACTGGCTCCCCCAGATGCTGGCAGTCCGCTTAGCTCCATGACGGAGACCCTGCGCCGCCAGATTCTCTCCCAGCAGCAGCAGCAACAGCATCAACAGCAGGCGCACCACCACCAGGCGCAATCGCACCACCAGCAACAGCCATCGCACCACCCACAGCAGTCGCCTCACGGCCAGTCGATGAACATGTACAAGTCGCCGGCTTACCTGCAGCGCTCCGAGATCGAGGATCAGGTGTCCGCGGCGGCAGCAGTGGCTGCAGCGGCGGCCAAGCACCAGCATCAGCACCAGCAGCAACAGCAGCAGGGTTCAGAGCGGCGGGGAGCAGAGAACCTGCCCGATCTCTCGGCCCTGGGACTGATGGGTCTGCCCGGCCTGAATGTAATGCCCTCAAGGGGATCGAGCGGGGGTGCGGGTGGTGCGCCGCCCAACAGTGCCGCCTCCTATGCACGCGAGCTATCACGGGAACGCGAGCGCGACCGTGAGCTCTCCCGCGAACGGGAACGGGAGCGCGAACTGTCCCGCCAGTATGGCAGCCAGTCGCGGGGCTCTAGCTCCGGTTCCGGCAGCGCCAAGTCCCTGACCGCCAGCCAAAGACCCGGCGCCGCCTCGCCCTACTCCGCCGCCCACTATGCCAAGCACCAGGCCAGCGCCTACAACAAGCGCTTCCTGGAGAGCCTGCCCGCCGGCATAGACTTTGAGGCGATTGCCAACGGACTGCTCCAGAAGTCGGTGACCAAGAGTCCCCGCTTCGAGGACTTTTTCCCGGGACCAGGCCAGGACATGAGCGAGCTGTTTGCCAATCCGGATGCAGCTGCTGCGGCGGCTGCGGCGGCCGCCTATGCGCCGCCCGTGAATCCGGTTCGTGAATCGCCGCTGATGAAGATCAAGCTGGAGCAGCAGCATGCCGCCGAGCTGCCACACGAGGATTGAATCCCGGAGACTGGCGGCTGGGGTATGGTGGATCAGGGGTGGGGAAATTTTTAAATACAAAAATTTGTGGGTGAATTTCTAAGGAAAGCAAGTAATTGTTGGAAAACAGTAAGTAGTTGGATTTATTTTTTATTTGGAATTTATTTTTTTTTATTTAAAAAAGGTTAAGAAATAATTTTAAATACAACCGAAAGTTATAGTTTTTCAGGCTAAAAAAAATATAAATATCAGTTGCTTTTCTTATTTAAAAGTAAAACTATAGACGAGCATTTTGCAAGCAAAAATAATTAGTTTACGGCTTAAATTGTATTCTTTAAATATCTCTTTAAAAAAAAAACCTTTTAAAATTTATATATTATTTTTAAGTAGCAAAATTCTTTTAAAGAATACCAAAGCCTAAAAAAAAGCTCAAAATAAAACCACACCAAAATTGTTAAAATATTTTTCAACCCTGAAAATTAATGTAACAACTTCCCTGATTTAACCAACAATTACTTGTCTTAAGAAAGAATTGCCCAGAAAAATGAGAGCCACCCTAAAAGCCACACAATACACACAAAGAAAATACAATACACAAATACATTTGGACTGCTACTTGAAACCCCAACGTTTTTAGTGTTTAGTGCTTAGTTGAAGTTGCTAACTGGTTTTTATGCCTAGGCTAGTTTTAGAGCGCGTATCGAGGAAGGTATAAAGTATTAACCTATTATTAAAGCACACCCCTAAGACCCGCACACACACACACACACAGCCCAACCTAACACATACTTCGAAACTTTCCTGTAAGGATAGGATCTCGTACTTTGTCTTATTTATTTTCAAGATAATTCGTTGCGTTGATTGCCTTTTTTGCCACGCGAAAAATAATAATAATAAATAGATGTAACGATTAAATGTAACCGCAAAACCGTAAGCCGTAAACAATTAAATTTACGATTAGAGACTTGTGCATTTCTTAAATGTAGCTTAACCCTAGAAATACACACAAACACACACACACTGAATGTTGTCAAATCTGGTAATTACAACTTTATATACATATATAGATACATATATATAAATAATAGCAAATACTTTAAGATATATAAGCACACACATACACGGATAGAGAAGTGCATACCTATACGCAGCACACAAACACACATACTTATATTAATGGTATTTCCAAATGTAAATGTAAATAATGTACAAATTTCCATAGCTTTAGGCTTCGACTTAATCTTAGATTTACCCCCCGGAAACGGAGAGCCCTTCGCAGCACTTCTTCAATGGTAATTGTAATCGTAATCGTAATCGTACTGTAGCATTGTAACATTGTAAATGAATGAATGAGCAAACAACGCAGGCAGCATCACATTAAATTTGTGCTAATTTTATGTAAACACACACACACACACACACTCTTACAGCCACACAGCACACACACACTCGACTGTCAGATATGCATATGTATTGTCCGTACTCTGTGAGTGAACTATTATTATTATTATTACTATTATTATTATTATCTATCCCTAAAGAAGCGTTTAGTTAAACAATAAATTATACAACAATAAACAGAAAATAAAAACAAATTGAAAAACTAAATGTCAACCGGTGTCCATGTTTTATTTATGGCTTAAAAGCGGATAGTCGAGGAATAAATCAAAATAATTCCAAGGCTATGAATATTCAAAACCTCAAAAGTCAATTGGAATTCAAGGGTTTGTATGGTTAAATGGAACTGGAAAATCGCTGATGGATTTTTCAAAGTGGTAGGTTTTTCCAAGAACAAAAAAGTCTTTAAATTATTTGGCTTAATAAGCTAAATAACTGATTTCAATTGAATTAAATTTAGACAAGAGAGTTTGGCTAAGATTGGCAGACTAATTTTTGAATACACTTTTAGTTTGCAATTGAAAAATCTGATAGAATAGAAATTCCTCATAACTTGAACAAATAGTAATAATTTCAAATATTAGACTTTAATTCAGAATATTTGTAATTAATAAATTAAAACTTAGCAACTATAAGGTTTTTGACCGTCAAATGCCTTCCCAAAAACCCTAAATTTTTGCTTTCTTAAATCCATATTTATTGATATTTTTGTATGATAATTACGATAATTACGTTTTGGAAATAAAATGGCCCAGTTAAGGCATAGAATATGCGCATTTTAGGGACATTATGTTCATTTTTTATATATTTTCTTTTTACAAATTAGTTTATAAAGCCAATATATAATATTTTTTTCTTGAATTTTTTTATTATTTTTAGTCATCAGGGCTATTTCGAGTGTTCATTAGCTTTTTAACATTGCTCTGTTAAATAAAAACTATCCCAAAAAAAAGGCTTCTACTGTAGACTCTCCTAGAAACTCTTTCCCTGCGACTGCAGCTACTCGGCAACAAACTGCTGGCCCCAATTCCGAAGACATAATTCACTTAATTCCCCCCAAAAGCAAGTGCAACTTCTGGCACAACAACAAGGCCTCCTTTCACCCTACTTCCCCCCCTCGCACAGTCACAAATTCAGGCACACACTCACCAGGACAGACACGAGTACTTCTCAAGGTCAAGGGGCAAGTGAAAGCGAAGCCATCACGCTTTCCATGCACAGCCCCAATCGCCGCTGTAGTTGATGCTGTTGTTGTTGGTGAAAGAAAACAATTACTTTGGCACTTAACAGCTTAACACATCACTTTGCACTTGATGCAAAACTCGGTCTGCTCCCAGGACTCATGACTTTGGACTGGTCTCGCCTCGCTCTGGAGTCCTTTGGTTCCCCTAAAACATCCTGGGCATCCTTAGCTGCAGACTGCAGATAAATAGGAGAAGCCCAAAGGAGGGGAGTCCCGGACACAGGCCGCCGCAGTCAGCAGTCCGGGGACAAGCGTACATCTGTAATGCTCAAGGTCATTCCGGAGCAGTTTGCCGGCCACCCGTTGGGCAGCAAGCAAAAAGCCGCCACTGAGAGAAAATTCAAGAAGCTATGGAGAATGTGAGAAGCTGGAATATTAAAATTGCATAAATTAAAGATCTAAAAATCTATCTAAAGTTATTTTCCTAAGTAAACCAACTACAGAAAGAATATTATTATTATTATAATTTTTATTTTTAGAATTAGGTTATTTTTAGGAAGTAATGTTTCCCTTATCCTTTCTTATTTTCTCTCAGTGCGGCGAAGCCAACGAGCAAGGCAACCCAGCCGCTCGACTGGCCATGAATGGCAAGTGGCTTTCATCTTGTGAGACACCCACACAAACACACACCCTTGGTGGACCGGGAAGAGGGGGATGTCAATGAAGGAGGAAGAGGATGCAGAGGAGCAACAGGAGAGCCAAAAGGGTCGAGTCTCATTCTCGGTCTCGGTCTCGGTCTCCATCTCGTTCTCGTTCTCGGTCAGCCTTGAATTGCGACCCACAAACAACTTCCTTCCAGCGACGGCAGCTGCCTTCATCCTGCCTTTCGTCCTTGCCAGCAATTCGCCTGTGGTTGCCGCCTGCTGTCTGTCTTCCTTCTATTCCGACTACGACTCCTCGTCCTGATCCCTCTTTGCCCCATATCCCCACTTGGATGTGTCTGAAGTTAAGCATTTGCGGCTGCTTGTAGCCCAAAATCCTGGCTGGTTGGTTTGCCGGTTGTTGGCTGTTGGCTGCCTTGCCTTTCCGCTCACTCCCCTCTTTGCTTACCCAAGCCCCTTCAACAGTTAGCAGCCACTCTGCCGTTAGCCATCTTGACAAGTGGTTTGGCGCCGTCTTAACCCGTTGAGGTACCGGATTTAACAGGGGTTTTTACTATGTGGGGTGTCATGAGAGTGCTTTAGTGGTAGCTTCTTGTGAGATATAAGTTTTAAGGATCCAATTCTAGTGTCTAGTTTGGCTTGAATATTTCACAGAATATATTTTTAACCATTAATTTCAAATATTGAAATAAGAAGACATTTTTAAGAGAGAGTCTGACATTTCTTTGTCAAGGTAATTATTTTATTGGAATTATCTAGAGACTTTAGAATCTTTGAATACATATTTTTATAAACTTCAACTTTATCAAAACATTTTTAATACAGAAACAACTTCCTAAGTATTCCCTTATCCTCACCTAATGGGTTAATCGCTGCCAATGGTTTCTGACCCGGCAATTGGCTTCACGCTCTGCGGAAAGATGCAGTTGAGTCGAGTTGAGTCGAGCCGAAGCCCCAAGTTGATGTTGCCTGCTCTCGAGAAATTACAGATAATTTGTTAAATATGGCACAGAAGCCGTAGCAGTGGCAGTAGCAACAGAAGCATCATGTGCAGTTTTGGCCAGGCCAAAAGCGAAAGTGCACAAGTTGTCTGGGACTCTGAGAGAGGGGCTGGTCTGGTGACTCCATCTCCGACTCGTGTTCAGACTGTGACTCCTTCCTTATCCTGCTGCTCAACAAGGACAGCCTTGTCGTCGTTGGCTCAAAGCCTTGACTTCCACTGAGTCTCGGTCACAGAGGCAGGCCAAGTGCGAAGGGGAGACTCAGGGAAATTCAGGAGTCGAGACATTTTGCCAGACACTTTTGCCTCTCAGTCTGCATCTCTGTCTGTGTTTGTGAGGGGGTGTTCCTGTGTGTGTGTGTTTGCTCCGGCATTCCTCAAGGTTGTTTCAATTTTACTTCAGTCTGCACAACCATTTTGTCCTGGCTGTGAGATTGTGTGTGTCTGTGTGAGCTATTAAAGAATTTTCCCAGCTTGTGAGCGGCTGGCTACTTTCCCTCGACTTTCCCTCTCCCACGTGTGGGTGTGTGTGTGTGTGTGTGTTTGTGAGTCAAGGAAAGCAGGAAGCTGTTGATAGTGTAATGTGGCAACATTATTTGCTTGATTGCTTTATTTTACGCAAAAGGTGTTTGTGGCTTGACACCACGCACACACATAAGCCACACACACACATGGCAATCGCACATTTGCAGAGGGAAAAAATATAATTTACATATTTTCCTAGGCTTTAAGAAGATGTCTTAAAAGAAGCTAGTTTGATTTATAACAAATGAAGATTATATTATATATATTACAGATTTGTAACTTATATTTCATCAGCTACAAAACGCATTATAGAATTCTTTAAATCACTTAAAAATCTTAAGGTATTTACCACAATTTCACACGACTTCTTAGCTCTGATGACATATTATAAAGGTAACTTTCAGCTACTTTTTTCGTCAGTGCACAAACCACTTATTCATTCATTCCTGCCAAACGTCTCAGATTCGGAGCTCGTCCCTTTCTCTGGCCTGCTGAATGCATTCTCGATACTCAATTGCCGTTTGCTTAAGTAAATGTTTGCTGTCGAAATTTTCTGTACATTTATTAGCTCACTTATGCTGGCCATTGTCCACCTTTCGCCCTTCTTGCGTGTGCGTCCCTCGGCCTATGCTTCTCGGGCAAAATAAATGCAAAGAAAATATTGTGTGTAAACATGCACACTTTCCTCGAACTGCATAAGAAAGCAATTGAGAGATTTATGCTGGTATAATGCACTTGTGGCTTTCTGGTCACTGGACTGGAGATGGCACGCCAGGGATTGCTCCTCTGACTTGACTTTTGTGGCCAAGTGTGAAAGTGTGAAAATTCCTTAAGGATGCTTGGTTTGCATAATTGCTTGTGATTTATTTGAATTGAGATGGCAAATCGAAAGTGAAAGGCGATGAATAAATCTTGTTCTGGCACTCGCTTTAAATTCAAGTAATTTCACTTCTAAGAGCAAAATTTAAAACTAATCCTTTGAGCTGATTACAAAAAATGACAGCATTCAGCGATACAAAAAAGGAGGAAAGGAATAAATATTGTGCACAAATCAAACAAAAACTAGCACACACTAGACACACCCAGCTAACCCATGCTGCTGCAATATTTTAATTAAAAATTCAATTTTAATCAATGCATTAGCAAAATGTCTCGCTCTCAGCGAGAAATGGAAACTCTGTAACAAGCAGCGTCCGTTGGACAAGGATTCGGGCCAAGGGTAGCCAGGGGGGGTGGCAGATCCTGCCGGAGCAGCGGCAGCAAAAACACAAGTTTTATGCGACGTCGAGTTTTGAGCATTGAAAAATAATAAAAATCGCAACGAAAAGAAAAAAAAACTGAATAAAATCGAGGAAAAAATAAAACCAAGTCTGTTGTATATACAACATGCAGAATGACAACAACAAAAAAAAAAGGGAATATGTTGCGCCACTCGAAACCAATAACGAAGGAAAAAATCTATGGAAAGTAGCCAGAGCCAAAGCACAGACCATGGAAAAAGTGAAGGGGAAAATGGAAGGATACTGTACGTATGTATGCACACGTATGTACACATAGTGGCATGTCTGTAAAATGTGTTGCATTTTTATTATAACTTGAAAACGTTGATAACTCCGCCTATTCCTATTCCTAACGAATGTGCGACGGATACGTACCGTTTGCTTTCGCTCGCTTCGGCATCGCTCCGTTACGTATACGCCGAGTGGCGCGCTGGAAAAAAGGAACGCAGCCTGCAGAGGAGTCGCCGAGGAGGCATCGAACGGGAGTGGGAGTGGGAGCGGGAGCAAGAGCTGAAGCATCGAGTGGAGAGAATACATTCGATTGAATTTAATATGCATGC